ATAGGGATAATCCTAAAACATTTTTTTTTTTTTTTTGATCGTTATATTTGAAGATCATCCGTCTTGCAGAGGAACAGCTCCAGAATCAGCCAGTAGTTGAACTCCTCCAAGGTAAATTATGATTCATTCTTTCAACACATTGCAGTACTACACCGTGATCTTTTGGGGGGGGGAATCATTCTTTCAGCTGTTATAAATTATATCACATCAAAGGCTAAAAGATTCACACAGCTCATGTGAAAGCCAAGACCAACCACAGTTCTCCCAGAGCCCGCAGCATTCTCCTGTACGGCAGATGAGAGCGGAAAAGGTCAAACGCAATCTGACTGCTTCCGGTGATGGTAGTGAAGTCTCGACAGCAGGCCCCAGTGTTAAAGAGGATCAAGGGTATGCAAAATTATCTTCCCAAGATCAGGGTATGGGATTTTCTTTCAGTAGTCCGCTAATTACAAATCTTCATCAATTGCCTCATGTGTCGGGGTGAAGCTCATTCCAGAGAGCTCAACTAAGGAGGAGATTTCACAAAGCTCCTCCAAACGTTCTCCTGGGCGGCAGACGAGAGCAGAAAAGGTCAAGCAGAATCTGACTGCTTCAGAAGGGGATCAGATAGACCAGTGTCATACTGGCTCACATCCATCACCAGAGGACATGAGCAGCACTGCCATGCCGAATCAATTGGGCATCCAGGACTCTAAAGGGATGGAGGCTGATCAACGCATGGAGGAGGTAAATCAAATAGCTCTAATTGCATGTGCTCAACTTTACTACAATAATGGAAAAAAAGAGAAGCTTTGAATTTGTGTAGTGTGACATGGATCTGTTTCGGCCTACATTAACATAACAGTGCCAGAAATCACTACAGTATAAAGGTGTTGTCTGTTTAGTGCTCTGTAATACTTTAAAGCTATGATCATTATATGTATAGATTTATGGTTATGTAGTGCATTGTACTTCAATGAAACCAAAGATGTTTTTGTTGTACAGTATTTTGATGTGGAATATTATTTTGTATGATTTTATTTCATTTTTTATTTGACCCTCTAACTCTAGCACTTTCTATTCTATTTTAATTCTACTTTATCTATTTATCTTCTTTTATTTAAAAAAAAACTAGTAGCTTTCTATTTTTTTCTATTCTATCTACTTGTTTTTCTTTATGTGTGTGTGTGTGTGTGTGTGTGTATATGTGTGTGTATAATATATATATATATACCTTGCTACGTGTACTGCGTTAGGCTAACCGAGACTTGTCATTTGCACTTATATATTGTTGCTATTTTGTTAGTTTTGACTGCTTTTATTGTCCTCATTTGTAAGTCGCTTTGGATAAAATCTGCTAAATGACTAAATGTAAATGTAATGTATTATTCTACAGAGTTTTTAAATATGTCACTATTATGTTCAGGGTTTGAATGTAAACAGACCTATAGAAAGACTTAACTACTCATTTTAGATAATACACTTCTGTATAGTTGAGACCAATTACCTTTTTACTTTTTAGGATTTAAATTTACATCATTTAGAGTTTTTAACTCCATCTGAAGTAAATGGTGAGTATGCTTTCATATTGATGTTTTTATATTTATATCGTCGTAGTAAGACCAGTTCGACAAAGTGAGCACTTGTGTGTCGTAGAAATTTGTACTCATACTTACTCTAGTGTAAAATAACTGTTTTCAAGTGATTACTCCAGTCTTCAGTGTTACAGAAATCATTCTAACATGCTGATTTGGAGAGAAAGAAACATTTCTTGTTGTTATCAGCTGTGCCATTTTTTATGGAAACTGAGATACATTTTTTAGGATTATTTGATTAATAGAAAGTTTAAAGAACAGCATTTATTTGAAATAGAAACCTTTTGAAACATTATAAATGTCTTTACCATCACTTTTCATGAATTTAATCCATCCTTGCTGAGTAACAGTATAAACTTTTGAATGGTAATGTAAATGAATGCAAATGGATGACATTACCAAGAGTCTGTTTCTAGGCTCTTTATCTAATCTCAAACACAGATCTGTTGTTGGGGTGCAACACATATTACCAGTTGAAAATGGGTGTAATGCTTCTTTTAATATCCTCTTAAGGTCAGACATTACTGACAAGAGCAGTTGTGTTGGTGTCTCATGCCGAAGTGAAGCACTACCTCAGGAGTCAAGCACAAACCACTGCAGAGGAATCAACAACCTCTGAGAGTCCGCAGGACACGGCACCTGCCAAAGGCCATCATGTCAGTACTGGAGGAGTTTGTTCTTTGTGTGATCTGTTATTATTTGTGCATTGCTCAAATAGTTATCATAACAGTGACTGTTGATGTGATTTGCAGGTGGGAGAGCAGAGGGATGGTCTTGATGAACACGGCTCCTCTAGTGGTGCTCTAGAAGAGAGGGTCTCTCAAGATCAAGATGTGAAGGAAACCGACACTGCCTCCGTTTCTGCCCAACTAAGCATTGCTGAAAAAAGGAGGTTTTCCAAGCCCAAACCCAGTCTGAGCCAGGCAGCACAGTCCATCCGCAGACCTCTGAATGAAAGTGAGCTTGAGATGCATATAAACCATGAGCTAAGAAGACTGTCCAGTAGCCTGTGTAGAGTGTATAATGCTGTGTGTTGTTTGCTGTTCTGAATGAGGGCATGTGTTCTTTCTAAATCCAGATACCCCGTCTTTCAAACGTGACTCAACGCAGCTGCAATGTCGCAGTCCTGTGGAAGTCCAAGTGAAGATTGCTCCAAATGAATGCCTTGTTGAAGAGCACAGGGACCGTCCTGAGGAAGAGCTTACATGTAGTGTTACTCCAGAAGTGAGCGGCCCTCAGGATGTTAAGGTGAGGGATTTTGTCAAAGGAGAGACTTGAGTGCGTGTTCTGATGATGTGATGGAAAACGTCTCAGGTTACTTATGTAACCATGGTTCTAGTCGCACCGGTAGTGACGTCATGGCTGTCGCCGGCCAACGAGTTGGTGTTTTTTCAATGTATGCTTCAGACACGGGTCACGACGAGGCGTTCCCCATAGCGACCCCTAGAGGACGCAGTTCGAAGTTCCCATGAAAGGGAACCAAACATACATTTGACTTGCAGTGAGTTTTCTCTTCTTTAATGCCTTTTTGTACGTCCAGGATGATGAAGCAGAAACCACAGTAGATGATCTTCCTTCCTTAACATCAATTGGTAAGATTAAAAGCATTGTTTGTATATATATTTGGTTGTCTTTCTTTCCGTCCATCTTTCCCTCCTTCTTTTTTGTCTCTCTGTCTTTGTTTTTTCCTTTTAACTCATTTTAATTTTACATATTTGTCTCTGTACCACTTCTCTAAATAAGGAAGTCCTCCAATAGTGAGTAAGACAGAGGACCAGGAGATCGTACCCTTCCTTGAGAAGCCTCTGGTTCCTGACACCACACCGTCAGACAAAGGTACAACAGAAGACTTTTTTCAGACATAAAAAAATCCATAATTAAAGTGCTTAACTTGGTTTGCAGCAGATCCAAAAAAAGTAAAAAGACAATGACTTTTACAGATGTGCCTGAAAGAAGAGGAGAATTTGAAAGGTCTCCATCTCGGACGTCTGAGAATGAAGATCGAATTACTGATCAGGAGGAACAGGATTCAGAAGCTGTTGAGTCTGAAGTCACAGACACCATGATTGAGGAACCTCAGACAGAGCTGAAGAGGATTATTCCAGTCAGGTGTGCAGTGGCAGATGAATCAGTAGATTGCTCAAATTAACAGGGTTTGTCTTGAATGTTTTTAACAATGCCTTTGCTCTGTGGTGTCATCTGTACAGCTGTTCTGCTGGTGGTTCCTCAGTTTATGCTCAGGGCAGTATTGCCCCAGAGAGGCGCGGTCAGTTTGATAAGCAAACACCCACCAACCTGGAAGGGGCATCTCTGGTCATGATAAACCCTCAACAGACCTCAGAGCCTAATGAAGGTGGGATTCATGTTGTTCAGATTGAGAATATTGCTTTAAATGTCACTAGTGTTGCTGCCAATGATTGAGACATGACATCTTCATTTAGATCCTGCAGAGACGCCTGAACATAAGAGTCCTGTTAAAGCCAAGCATAGTGATTTGGATCATGACAAAGAGAAGATCTCCAGAGAAGAGAAGCTTCTGTCATCTGAAGGAAATTTACAGGAACATAAACAGGATGAGGATCTCCTGTCCCCTGTCCCATTACTTAGCTTAAAACAAACTTCAGCCCCAAAAGTTCTTGTGGACGGCACTGGTAAAGGAAACAAAGAACAAAATGGTGGGTTTTAGAGTTTTATTATATTTAATAAGTTTGATCTGATTTGATTTTCTTTATAGAAATATTTAGTCCACATATTTAAACTCCATGTTAGAACAAAACTGATTAGAAACCATGCTTTATGTATACACGCAAACGATTGAGTCTGTTCATTTGATCGGTTTCTTATAGACCCAGTTCTCAGTGATGCTTCATCTGCACTATTTGAAGCGCACAGCCCGGTTTCATCTTTTTCTGATCCTCCAAACGAACCTGCAAGCAACCTGTGTGATATGGACATGTATGTACAATGTAGCTTTTTTTTAGCAGCTTTAATTGATAAGAGTTTCTAATAATTTATGTAGTCTTATTAAATGAAGGTTAATATGTTGTTTAAATGTTGCTTTAGGATGCAGTTTAGTGAGTCTGCAGCTGAAGACGTTCAAATACCAGATGAGCAGGATTCAGAAAATCAAGACGGCACAGAGGAGTCATCAGAAGCTTCTGAGGTAGAGTTCTGACAAACAGTACCTTGTGTATTCTGTGTTTGCTGAATGGAATAAACAGCTTTTGAACTAATGATTTTTTTCTGGCAGGAATGCAGTGCCTCTCTCAATGAAAATGCAAAATCTGAAATTTCAGATTCAGCTGGAGTGGATACAGGTGCAATTGGTAGTGGTGACATGAACACATGATCCAGAGAAATTTAAATACTATATAAAATGAATATAAATACAATATTGTAAATGTACTGTGCTGTCATTACTGTTTAAAAGTTTGGGGTTGGTAAGATTAAAAAAAAAAAAAAATTGTTTTTTTAAGAAGTCTCTTAAGCTCACCAAGGCTGCATTTATTTGTTCAACAAAACAGTAATACTGTGAAATATTATTAGAATTCTAATATGCTGATTTGGTGCTTTCTTATTACTATTATTTATTTTAGTTGTGCTGCTTAATATTTTTTTGTGGAAACTGCTATACATTTTTTCAAGATTCTTTGTATGTATTTAACATTATAAACATCTTTACTGACAATTTAATGCATCCTTGCTAAATAAAAGTATTAATTTATTTATTTTTTTTAACTTATCTTTAAAATCTGACCCTAAACTTTGAATGGTAGCGTATATTATTTTTTTAACAATTTCCTTCCTTGTCACAGATAAACATTCTGAGGAGGAGCCCACATTTATTTTAACTCTATATGAGATTCCAGCCTCTCAGCTGTCCCATGAGGCTGCCTTTGGGCAGCAGGACACTCCCCCTAATGAACTGCAGCCAGCACAAGTCCAGACACCCTTGCTGTTCTCAAGCAGTTCACATTCTCTTTCCTTCACATTAGAGCCTTCCAGGTACATTTCCCTTCCAGTCTAGATTTAATTAGGTAACGTTTTACACAGTAAAAAACAAAATCCTTGATCATCCATTCCTTTCATCCTTGATGACCTTGTTTTGTAGTGCATCTCTGAACATGGCGTCTGAAGAGACCAGTAATCTATGTAAAAGTAGTTCTCGCAAGGTGGTGGATGACTCCCTGGATCCTCTTTCAAAGGAAGAAGCAGATGATGTTAGCACACAATTGATATCCTCACTGGAAAGCAGTTGTGATGGTGTGAACTCTTTAATTAGTCCACCCGGGATGTTCTCTTGTAATTCTGCCACGGTATGATGTAGTACTCCCTTTTGTTATCATAATTTGCGGAGTGTTTATATTTTGTAGCAGTTTTGGAAATTAAAATGTTTTCTCTTTTGGTAAAAGCTGAAGTTGGATGAGATCCTGACAGAATCCCCAGAAACTAAAGCACCTACTCAAAGGAGATGTAGGACGTTCACTTGCATTCAACAGTTATGTCATATATTAAAACTGGTATATTCATGTAGATGAGATGGTAATATCCTGTCTGATCTCTCCATGAAGGCAAGATAAAGGTCAAGCCGAAGCTAAAGCCATGTGTGAAGGTTGGGCCTTCAAAAAATGGCCAGTTTGACTGTGCACCCAGTCAGAATCTACCAACATCTCAAGCCACAGCACAAACTGAGATCGAGTCCAACCAGAAACTATCTGTGCAGGAAACAGTTGGTCCTGAAAGCCACTCAAGCCTTGAAGGCAGTGAGCGTGATGGCGTGATATCAACAGCCATTGTGCCAGCGTCTGAAGATATGAGAGATGAGAGTCACCTGAAGTGGGAATGTCCTCTCAGAACAGAACTTCAGAGGAATGAGGACTCTGTTGTTGACCCTCCAGTGAGTCGGAGGCTGTTCTCTATTGAAACAGACCAGTTTTTTCTGTATAAATCAGTCATTCACATAAGTGTTTCTTCACAGGTGCACAGTACATTCATAAAGGAGTCTGAGGGGAACAACAAAGCTGCTTATGAGGGTATTTCACACATAGTGTTGGCTGATGCCTTCGTACTCTCATCAGAAGAAATGAAGGATGTTTTTAATAAGGGAAAGGAAAGCCCTCATGATAGTGAGCTCCAAATACCTGAGGGCTTATCTATATGTCTTACAGAGAGTGCGAAATCTCTTCCTTCAGTTATTGACCAAGTAAGTGTTTTTGTTTATATCTAAACAAAACATTAGTCCTCAATATGTTATGAAATTGCTTGACGAGTGGTCCATTTCCCAGAAATAAAGCTCAATTTTAAGTATTTATGTTTTTTTTTTAATCTCCTTGAAGTTAATTTTTAACTTAAAATTTCAAGTTTACTAGGAACACATCACATTAATTTGTTAGTACTTGTGTCCACAGGAGGAAAAAATGGCAGATATTTCTAAAAAGCCTGATACTTGCAGAGAGGCATCATGTGTGTCATCATCTGCATCTCAAGAGAAGACTATGCCCTTTAGGAGAGGTAATGATATTAATGTCCCTTTAACTGACTTATTTTATCATTTTAAAGGGATAGTCACCCAACAAGTAAAATAGTCATCATTTACTCACCCTCATGTAATTACAAACCCATGAGACTTTTGTTCATCTTTGAAACACAAACTTAATATTTTTAAGTGGTTTAATCCAAGTCTTAAGAAAAGACACTATACGTAATTTTGGCTTTTATTGATCAACATACATGCATACATAAAGCACATCATGGATAAATGGAAGCTCAAACTTACTTGCTTGACACTTGAGAACAAACTGGTTTCATTACGTTTAACTTTTTATTTCCTTGTTCTCAAGGCAAGTTGCAAGTGAAGCCAAAAATCCCCAAAACGGGTCTTCGTTTTCCCCAAAATCGTCTTTCTACTGAAGACGATTGTTCTAGACAGAAGCTATCTGACTTTGGGTATAATGATCCAGCCACAACTCAAATAATTTCACCAGAACCTCTGATTAAAGAAGAATCCATTAAAGTGGAACAGAGATCCGAGCAAGAAGATTTCTCTGATATTCCAAAGGAGGAATTAGACGGAGAGCCTGCTGGGATTGCTTCATCCTCACAACTTCAACAGCTTATACCATTCAGCACTGTAAAATCAACAGCATGGTAAGAAACATCTATTTTAATAAATATCCCTCAATCTGTGTACAATTATTATAGGCAATTTTTTTTTTACTTTTTGTCATAGCACTGAATTGCCTCCAGTGGAACTGAAAATAGAGGGTAGGCATGAGGATGCGTGTCACGTGGTGTTGCCTGATATATTGGTGCCGGTTTCCTCTGAAATGGAAAACGGCGATCATATGGCGAGTGGAAGTTCTGTCCAAAGCAGTCTCGAAATGGGTGAAGAGAGCCAGCAGGTTGTCTCTGCATTCACATAAGTGTTTCACATGGGGGTGTTTCTCACATGCTGCTGACAGATATGTTGATCCCCATCTGTGAGAAAATGGAAGATGATTTAAAGGGGTCATATGATGCTGCTAAAAAGAACATTATTTTTGTTCGAACGAGCCGTTTTAGGTAGGTGTGGCTAACTCTTAACTTTTATAAAGAATATCTCTTTGGATTTGAGACTTTAGTCTTTGCAACTTTACAGATCTTCTTTATGCTCCAAGAGCTTGTAACACTCTAAAGAGAAAGGAAAAAATGAAATCGCATCATATGACCCCTTTAAGAAATGAATGGACAAAAGCTGGAGAGAAAAGCCCTCATGAGGAAGGAAGATCTCAGGTTAGTTAGCTGAATGGCAGAATGAGTAAGGAGTACTGGCAGATATATATTTTTATTGGTATTGGTCAATATTGGATATTTAAATGTACATTTTTATTTCAAATTGGCAAAAATTTTAATACCCATAATTAATTTGACTTTTATTTGAAATATATACTACAGGTGAGAGAGGATCCAGATACCGCAGACCTGTTCTGTCAAGTGTCACACTCATCAAATGTGGGACCATCAGTATCACCCAAGAGGAAAAGACCCACTCAGGGCAAAGGTGATGAAACACTTTCAAAATTGTGTCTTTTCTCAACACACTGTTTAGTTTCTGTAACAATTTGATGAATTTTCTTTGAGTAACATTTTTGATTCTTTTTTATGCCCCTTGCTTTTAAAGCAAGTTATTGGTAAAGATGATGTTTCCCAAAAGAAAGACTGGAGATTCCCCTAAGAGTGGCGAGCAATCACAAACCGTTCCTCTGTCAATCTTAAAGTCGGAGTCAACACAATGTAGTGCTGAGACATGGTATGAGTGACTTTATCCTCTGATCTGTACATTTTACATTTTCACCAAAATATCAAATTACTTACTAATGGGTTGGTCTTTCTGTCATAGTGCTGACTTGCTGCCCACTGGCTCGGAGGACCATGAGGAAGCATCTGGGGGTGTTTCACACATTGTGCTGTCTGATATTTTGGTGCCTGTATTGGATGAGTCCGCTGAATGCAGCCTTCACAAAGAGGCCTTATCTGCTGGTCTTCAAGAAGATGCAGTCAAAGTATGTTTCTGTATTTTGAAAGGTCATTGATCGCTTGAGTACTTTTTATCCTAATAAAAAATTCAGCAAAAATATAAATTGTTTTACCTGCCACAGGTTGAGAAGTCAACAGATAATGAGAGAGCAACAAATACTGAAACGGAAGAGATGAGCTCAAGTCAGTCTGTGGCAGTGGAATGGAAAACACCTTGCTGTAGGAGAGGTAAGAATGCATAAAATAATAATATAAAGCAAAATAATAATTTCAAGTAATGTATGCTATTTTAAGAAGCATTTAGCTGTAGTTCATAACAATTGATTTTATATGGATAAGTCTCATGAAAAAGTGTCTAGATCACATTTTATAAAAAAAAAAGCCTTTCTTCAAAAATATGTTAAATAATTAAAATTATTTAAAAAATAATAAAATAAAATTATTTATTTATTTAAAAAATATATAATGAGGGAGTAAAATGAACAAAATATTTATTTATTAATTTTTGGAGTGAAATGTGACCTGGACAGGTTTTTCGAGATTAATCTTTATAAAACTTTAAACAAGGTGCAAATGACAATGCAAAAATCTGTTGTATAGGTACACCAATTAGACACTACTTCTGACATGACAAAGTCAAATGAGAGTGCCAGCATCACAAGCAAAAAAATCACCAGCAAGAAGTTAGTCATTCCTCATCTCAGACTGTTATTAATCTTTGTCTCCATTATTTTTTGTAATATTGATTTATTTTTTCTGATTTCTCTCAAAAAGGTACATTTCAGATGACACTAAGGTCACCTGAAAGACGCCTTAAAGATCAACCTCATATGCTGAAGTCAACCCAAGCTGCCCCGACAACACCTCAGCGAACTCCGACATCAAAAGTGAAAGAGTCCATGGGAACTCCAACAAGACAACAAACAGGAGAGATCTCAAGTGCATGCCGGGTACAGCTAGAAAGGTTATCTGTAGAGGAAATCTGCAGTGCTCAAAGTGTCCTGCAACCAAAGCATCACAGCACGCCTGTCACTGTAAAACCCACTTCTAGAGGGTAAGGATGTTTTCCATTTCATGCCAATGACATGGTATGTAATTCTTTTCAGATTGTCGAAATCAGAATATTTAGTGCTGTTCACAGTAAAAACATCTGTTTGTATTCTTAGGAATGAGATGGACAAGGCATCTCTGGCTTTGCGTGGAAGCAGAAGCTCTGGTTTAGAATCACATGCCGATGAGGAGCCGCCCTTGCCGCCAGGATACTCGCCAAGGGTTGTCCTTCATCGTATACCATTAACAGCTACTGATGAGAACATTTCTACACCTACTTCGTCCCCAGCTAGCGTGTCCACCACACCCTCCCGAACACAGGCAGATCATCAGGTACATGCTGTCATCTACAATCAAATCATTGCATTATGTACATTATTTGTGACCCTGGACCACAAAACCAGTCATAAGTAGCACGGGTATATTTGTAGCAATAGCAAACAATACATCGTTTGGGTCAAAATTAGCGATTTTTCTTTTATGCCAAAAATCATTAGGATATTAAGTAAAGATCATGTTCCATGAAAATATTTTGTAAATTTCCTACTGTAAATATATCAAAAATTTAATTTTTGATTAGTAATATGCATTAAGAACTTCATTTGGACAGCTTTAAATGCAGAGGCGGACAAAGTA